TCTATGAGTCTATGAGTCTATGAAATCGTGGTGGAATTCTTCCAGAGTCTTCTTCCCATGGGTCCAGATGATGAAGATGTCGTCAACGTAGCGTAGGTAGAGGAGGGGCATGAGTGGATGAGAGCTGAGGAAGCGTTGTTCCAGGTCAGCCATAAAAATGTTGATCTCAAGGATTCCCAAGAGAAGGGTGAGCTAGTGTGGGACATTGTGTTTAGGATGTGTACTGACATCTTTGACTGAGGGTCATTGGCATACTGGCTTGGGACAGAGCAGCAGATGTGATATATCTTAATTTTAGTAAGGCTTTTGACACTGTCCCACGACATCCTCATAAGCAAACTAAGGAAATGTGATCTAGGTGAAATTACTATAAGGGGGGTGCACAACTGGTTAAAAATCTACTTTTAGAGCAGTTATCTAAGGGTCATGTCAACCAGTGGTGGGGGAGACGCAAATCAACAAGACGAGTGCAAAGTACCACATTACACTGGAAAAATCAAATGCACAACTACAAAATGAGGAATAACTAGCTAGGCGATAGTACTGCTGAAAAGGATCTGGGTTTATAGTGGATCACAAATCCAGTGAGTCAAAAATGTGATGCAGTTGCAAAAAAACGGGGGTTAATCTGCAGCAAGAAAGGTTTAGGTTAGATATTAGGAGAAACTTTCCAACTATAAGGGCAGTTAAGCTGTGGAATAGGCTTGCAAGTGAGGTTGTGGCTCCCCATCATTGGAGGTTTTTAAGAACAGGTTGGACAAACACCTGTCAGGAATGGTTTAGGTTTGCTTGGTCCTGCCTCAGTGCAAGGGGCTGGACTCCATGACTTCTAGATGTCCCTTCCAGTCTTTCCTTTCTAAGGCCATGTCTACACTTACCGGAGATTGATGCTGCTGTGATCAATGCAGCGGGGGTGGGGGGGGAGGGGTGTCGATTTAGCAGGTATGGTGAAGACCCGCTAAATCCATGGCAGAGTGCTCTCCGGTTGACTCCGGTATTCCATTGGAATGAGAAGAGTAAGGTAAGTCGCTGGGAGAGTGTCTCCTGTCGATGCAGCGCAGTGTAGACACCGTGGTAAGTAAACCTCAGCTACATCGAATCCAGTGAAGTTATTCGCGTAGCTGGAATAGCGCAACATTGGTCGACTTACCACAATAGTGTAGACAAGGCCTCAGATTACAACTCATTTAGAAAACTATGTACTTTGTTAAGTAAAGAGCAATGGTGCTACAGCTGGTGCAAAGCCAGTCTACCAGTATGTGTTAAGCATCCACAAATACCATGTTGCCCCTGAGAGAGTTAAACTGTGACCAGCAGCTTCACACCTCTTGGGTGGTATGCTGGGAGTGGTGTGTTAAAGTACCAGGGAGTCTGAAGGGTCAGCACCACACTGAGAGTTTCACCACTCAGAGGGGAGTGCTAGGTAGAAGGTTTGTACTCTGAGTGTGTGCATAGGGGCCCCAAGATTGGGGCAATGGCTCCGTTTAGGCTCCAGAAGCTTATGGCATCCCAAGGGAAGCAGAGCATAGACTTGGACTCCACTCACAGCAGTCTTAGTGGGTGGCCAAGAAGGGGCAGTCACTAAGATCTGTGACACCATCTCTTTATACACCCCCTTTCCTTATTGTTAAACCTTTCCCTTTCCAGTGCCAGGTGTGTTTTCATCTGCTCGCGGAGTTATCACAGTGCATCCCATCACACCATTAGGGTACATCTATGCTACAATAAAAGACACGCAGCACAGCAACAGGTAGCCTAGGTCAGCTGACTTGGACGCACGGGCCTAAAAAGAGCAGTGTTGATGTTTGGGCTCAGGCTGGAGCCCGGGCTCTGAAACACCACGAGGGGGAGTGGGTCGCAGAGCCTGGGCCCTAGCCTGAGCCCAAACATCAACACTAATTTTTAGCCCTGCAGCCCACCCCCTGTGAGCCTGAGTCAATTGACCCGGGTTCTGAGACTCAGTGCAGAGGGGTTTTATTGCAGTGGACACGTACCATCATCAGGGCATTATTTGTTTAAAATAAAATCAGAGCATTTTGAGTTCCTAATGCAGTTAGGCATCAGAGTTCTGAGTGTCAGGATTTTAAAATGTACAGATTTGGTGTGTTAAGACTATGCCCTGCCAGCCAAGCTTGATCCAGTCTCACTGTTAGCCTAGAACAATGAACACACATGCTTTCCTTTTTCCTAGCTGTATACTCCATGGATGAACTCCTGGCCTCATTGAGGTCAATGGCAAAACTCACATTGACTTCAATAGGACCAGGATTTCAAACAAAGTCTCGAACTGCCCACACATGAGTAAACAGAGCTCGATCCAGGCTACAAACATTTGTTCTTTGCCTACGATTAAAATAACAAAACAAAGGGTAGTGGCCTTGGACAAACATGTAGGGAATGTTCACTTAGTCTTTATAAAAGTTTTAAGTAACTGGGTTAATTGACAATCAATGGAGGTACAAAAGTCTAGTGCAGATGGTACCCTTTCATACTCATGATAGGAGATTTTCAGCATTCATATCAAGACATGGAATATGCTGTATTGTGTCGCTTACTTAGATCGTTGCCCTGGATGGAACAGTGAAGTGAAGTCTGTTGAATCCAAGATCAACAGTTCAGATTTGTATTTGTACAGGTGTCTAAACTTTTACTTGTGTACCCTACTCCTCATGCCAGACTGCTGTTTGTGAAGCTAATCTTTTTCATCACTTTCAAAACAAACTCCCCTCACCTTCAGACAGACAATTTACAAGCTGTCAGGCAGAGACCTTCTATATACATACCACTCAACTTGTCAGGGTCCAGGTGTGGGATGCAATGTGTGACAGACTCACAATCAGGGTCACAAAACAGTGATTCATGCAGTAATGCTGAAGGAGTCATTCATTTACAGCAAATAACTTTTTTCTATAATGTCAGTTATAGATGTCACTAGTTTCCAACCAGAATAGTGAGGGAATGCCAAATTTATGTAGAACGTAGGGAAATAAGTGACAGCCTTGAAGTGAGGCTCATCTGAGAGGCATGTTTCTATCCAGCAAGATTTCTCACATTCCTAGTACAGTAACAGCTGTGTTATCCAGCACTTTATCAACCAGAAAGCTCTATTAACCGGCATTTCTGATATCTCCCAATACAAATCTTCAATCTAGTAACTGGGATTTGAATACTGCCCAGGAGGTTATGCAATTGCACATTCTGCACTCTACTTTTATGCAAACGAGGCAGAAGACAAGTAAGCAAGCGGATATCAGGGATTTATTCAAAAAAGCATTTTCCAGGGTGTGTCATAGGGTCATTACAAATTCAGCCCAATCTCCTACACCTTCTACATCTACGGTGATAATTGATGTTGATAATGATGACCTTGAGGCACTGCAAGATCCTGAAGTGCCTTCTGAATCATCAAAGAAAAATTAAATTATGTTCAGTATAGTTTTAGTGTTAAGTATAGAGAAGCATTGAAGTACCTCAGGTAACGGTGGGGTAAATGTGAACTTTTTAATGATTGCTGAATTAAATGAAGAAAACACCAAACATCTGGAAAGAGACTCATAACATATGCAAGTTCTAACCCTTCTTTCTTGTATTTTTCCATTGCAGCCTATTAGCGGCAAGTGGAGGAAATCGGCGGACCGCTAACGTGGTGGCACATGGATTTGCCAATCTTTTTATTCTAGACAAGAAGACTCTCAATGAAATCTTGGTGCATTATCCAGACTCGGAAAAGCTCCTGATGAAGAAGGCTAAGTATGGCCCCCGTAGTATTGGTTTAGATACAGAATTAAGAATTTTGATTGATAGATAATTACATTTGTTTCTTAGAAAAACTAGTTCTTGGTGCTTGTTGTGGAATTATCATGGTAACTTTTGGTAGATTTCATGATGTCATGGCAGGGATGGCAGTAGTTAGGAAAGGGTGGTAAAGATAAAGAAGTTATGAACCAAGTCCCAACTCTCCTTTCCATAAGGGATGACAAACACATAAGTGTTTAGAAGCAAACAGGCCCAACCAGTTCCTCACCTTGGCCTGCATTTCCTGTGCAGGAATACTGCAAGATAGTGCTCAGCTTAGGACTACATTTTCAACGGTGCAGTTGTGCGGATACAATTGAGCCTGTAGGCACATACTTTTTTGTATCCACAAGCTGATGGACTATAGGAGCTCAAGGTCCCTTCCTACCTTTCTATGATTTCAAAGAGCCCTAAGGGTATACACATGCAGGTTTTAAATTAGGCCTAACAGAAGCATGTCCAAGGTCTATGTATACACAGAATTTAGCTGGGTGTGGTTCGTGCACAGATTTGTATGTATCAACTTCCTTTTCTCCCCACTTTGGCTGTATCGCTGTAGATCCCCTCTTTGCCCCAGGTCCTGTTTAGACCTGTGATCAGCTAATGTGTCACTCGGCCACTCTCAGCGCTGCTGGAATATACTATAAATAATGGTCAACCTGTTTTAAATCAATACAACTTAACGAATCAAATTAAAAACTCCAACTATGAACAAAATACAGGAAAACAAGTCTCTCCAAAAGACTTAAAAAAAATAGGTCAAACAATGTAGCACTGGTAAAACAGTTAATATTTATACTATGCTTAACCCACTAACTTTGTGTGCTGATTGTGGCTTGAGGTTGGTGTCAAACACTAAAACAGCTGGCGAAGCTTCTCCCAGCTTCCTGAACGTTGCAAGTGAAATCAGAAGCATATTAGTGATTTTTTTCAGATTACAGTGAAGATACCAATTTACAGTTGCATTCACTACAAGCTCCCTCCAACAATCAGATAAACGAGAATTCCCACTCACCTTGCCATGGTGCATCAGTGCCACCACTGTCCCACTCCTCAATCCCTATCCCCAGAACTTCAAGGTGCAACACTGGGAAGTGGTGACAGCAGCATAGGTCATATTGCATTTTGGGGTAAAAAATTCAGTAAAGCTTTGCACAGAGATGTTTGCCCACATGCTGTGTAATCCTTGAACAGAAATAAAAGCATGCTAATCTGCTTCTTGATGCTGCTCGTACCTGCTGTCCTGTATTTCTAGTCTATATCTGCATAGTTTACTGTCACAAGTAAGTTCATGCTCTTGTTCGTGCCTGCAAAACCAAAACAGTTTTGGAAGAGTGGGGTCCAGCCTAGTTTGCCATGCGCATCATCACCAAAACTACCCACAAAAATGTGATTCCATTATCTTTGTTGGTGGTAATCAGGCATAGCACAGAATGGGAAGTCCATGGGTTGTTTTCCAGATGTCACATTGTATGGGCAGCGCTGGCCATTAGAAAGCTTTTGGTTCTATACAGTGATTTACTGAACGAGTCTGACAGAGAGATACACCAACCTGCCAACTTTCTGAGTCTAAGCACCAAACAGTGATTCACACTGCAGGTCACTTCAGCGCACTATCACTTCTATTCATTTCAGTGCAAAATCCACTAGCAGAGGGAATGCTCAATGTGCAAAGACCCATCTGCAGTGCAGCCAGAGAGGAGAATTTTGCCCCACATGCACATCCCGTGGCAGTAATGGAGTATGCTCTCTTTTATGCCGGTTTCTGACCTTACCCTATACAATCCTCTTTTGATGTGACCTTGTTTGGAGCATGCATTTGTTTTACCTGCATCCTGCAGAGGAAGAAATAGATTTCAAACTACAAACAGCAGCAGTTTGCCATAGATCCATACTCTGGTGAATGGTACCTTCTTGCCCTTTTTCTTTTCCACTAAGTTTGGAATGAAAAATGACCCTGAAAAAAAGTTTCAAGGGTTTCATGCTTTGATTTGGAGTTTTAGTAATATCTTAGCATTAGACTTGTCAGTTCTCATTGTGGTGTGTTATCTTCCATCTTGTCTACAGAGTGCTGCTCAAGGAGAAGGGTAAGCCCGCTGAAGGGCCACAAGTGCAAACAAAAGGCTTGTCCAGTCTCTTTGCAACAAAACCAGAAACTCCCAAACTATTCAAAGCAATGTTTGGAGGGACAGGAAAAGGAGGCCTAGCTATGCTGCTCAAGATGAAGAGACAGCAAGCTGTTCAGGTAACCCACAACAAATACAAGAGACTGTTCAGAATGCTCAAGGGATAAGCAGGGGAAAAACCCAAGAGAGGAACTTACCAGGTTTGAGCAAACATATTGCATGAAATCCTGGCCCTACTGAAAGAACAAAATTCCTACTTACTTCAACAGGGCAAGATGTTACCCATAGTGCCTAATCTCAAACATCATGGGTTCAGAAGTTTGACTCAAACGTTGTTGGATTCCTGTTCTGCCTATGACAGAGTGAGCAAAAGCAAAAAGGCAGCAGAGAGAAAAAAGGTCAAGGGAAATGGGAGAAAGAACTGCTTTTATATGGGCCTTGGGGGGGGGGGGGAACTGAGCCATTTCCCCCCCTAACAAAACCATGATGCCCCTTGAAAGCATTATCCTACCACCAGCAACAGAATCCAGTTGATGGCAAAGCACTGCTTAACTTATTGGCTATTCAAACTCCCACCTTTTCCCTACTACTTTGCAAATCATGGAGACAAATGTAAGATTAACACGTTTAGCCAAAACTGAGTAAATCCAAACAACTTCTATATATAATATATGAGCAAGTAGCAAGCCATTAAATGTGTGGGAATTACTTTATTACAATAGCCTACTTTAGGGAATATGCAAATTGATAATAATTCTGTTCTGTTCTACTTATCCACTAGTAGGTGGCAGTAGTAAATTCTGTCTCCATTCCAATATTCATACCCATACCGTATGACTCCACACTCTGCGTAGAATACGGGTTCTTGGATTTTGTCTGCAGCACTACGAAATGTTTAACTTTTCGCTACAGGAAAAAACTGAAGAAAAGAAACCTGAGCCAGAGGAAAAGAAACCTGAGCCAGCACCAGAACCCACAGCCCCACCTAAACCATCTGTGCAAATGGAAGAGCCAGGTGAAAATTTTCAACCTCCACCTAAACCGGTTCTGCTCAGAGGAACCACTAATAAGTCCCTTATCATCAGCATGGCTCCTTCCCCTATAGCAGGAGAAGGAGAGGTTCTCACTGTTGAGGTCAAAGAAAAGAGACAGGAGTAGATGGTGGACTGAGTTGTGATCATACCTAGAATCTTTCTGAGGAGAGAGAGGGCACGGTGTGGCTTTGCATCAGAGTGCAGAACTATTCTCTTCCCTCATCCCAGGGAGAGGATGTACTTTGTCTCCAGACCTTGATTGTGGGGTATAACATTTTGTGTAGCAAAGTAATTAGAGCACAGATTGCACCCTTAGGCCTATTTATTTCTTGCTTCCTCCATGTTCTCACTCATCTCTTACTCTTCACTCCTACTTCTCCTTCTCCTCCTAGTTCTCTCTTTATTACTCTTCCTCGGGGTTTTCCTCTTGATTGGTTTGATCTTTGTTTTCCATGTGTCTCTTTTTTCTATTTTCTATTCTGGTTTCCTATCATAATCCTTTACCTTGTTACTGCATTAATATTGCTGAGGTTGTTAATATTTGCCCTTATTTGCCCTCTCTCCTCATTTTATATTTCTAACAAGTGACTGGCTTTTGTAACCAACATGGGCTCAATTCAACTAGTTCATGGTTTCAGTGCTTTCAGTTTTGATCTCCAGAGGGCAGAAGACAACACTGCAAAACCATCATCAATAAAAGTCAGTGCAATCACCAAAAAGACAAAGGGGATAATGATCCTGCAGATCTCAATGTCACCTTGAAACTGTTGAAAATAGGAGCCTTCAGTTCAGTAAAGGTAGCTGAATATACGGAGTAAAAAACTAAAGCAATGTTTTTCAAAAGTGGCCTTTAATTTTGGGTGCTCTACTTCATATAATCATAGCCTGACTTTCATAGGTGCTGAGCAACCCCAACTCTACCTGAAGTCCATGGGAACTGCAGGTGGCTCACCACCTCTGAAAAGGAAGGCCTCAGTATCTGAAGTTGAACACTCACAATTAAAGGCTGTTTTTGAAAAATGTGGACCATTACACCTTGTAGCTACTGCTATAAGACTGCTGATCTTTTCGTCAGTCGGTCACAGACAATCAGTTCCTGCAGTCATGATTCAGGCAAAATTTCGAACTGGGTGGGAAATAATTTTGCCAGTCTACATTCGGACAAACCCAACACCTTTCAAAGAGTAATGAAAAATGAGAGCACCACCCCTGAGAATAGCTAATAGTCTGGTGATTACGGTATGTGCTTGACAGACCTGAGTTCAAGTCCCTGATCCAAATCAGGCAGAACAACAACTTCATACCCGGCCTCCAATATCCCAGGTGAGTGCCCTAACCACTGAGATATTGGCTCTTCTTGGTGTGTGTCTGGCCAGATAGTTTCTCAGGGTTGAGGATAGACTATTCCTGAGAGAAGCTAATCAAACTGGTTTTATTGAAAAATTCCTAACCAGCTCTAACTACCTGAAGGGGGTTCCAAAGAGGATGGAGCTCGGCTGTTCTCAGTGGTGGCAGATGACAGAACAAGCAGCACTGGTCTCAAGTTGCAGTGGGGGAGGTCTAGGTTGGATATTAGGAAATACTATTTCACTAGGAGGGTGGTGAAGCACTGGAATGGGTTACCTAGATTGACAAAGCCCTGACTAGGATGATTTAGTTGGTGGTGGTCCTGCTTTGAGCAGGGGATTGGACTAGATGACCTCCTGAGGTGTCTTCTAACCCTAATCTTCTATGATTCTAACTGAAATCAATGGAAGCTTTGCCTGACTAAAGACTGCAGTACTGAACCTTATATAGTCAAGAAGCTCTATCCTTTCTCTTGGAAGATTAAGACACTTGCCTGATATGTTCCTTGGAGTCTTCATACCTAAGATGAAGATTCCTGCCACCCTTGCTACAAGGCAAGAATCAGCCCATATAAGAAAAAAGTGCCTCCCACAGACAGGAGGAATAGAGCCAGACTGGAGAGTGGATATAGAGTAATTCAACGAATGCACACCCAGTAGCACATTGGTGTCCAAACATTTCCTGTTGCTGCCCCTTTACCAGTAATGTAATGTAATCTGTCCGTGTCTCCCCTCCATTATACTGAATTCACTGTGTAGAGGACCTTGGGCTGAAGGCAGAGCTGGGGCTAGAGGCAAAGCTGGCCTGCTATGGAGAGGGTACAAGAGCAGAGCTGCGCTGGGGGCAAATGGAGCTGTGGCTGGGACCAGAGATGGGGTTAGCATGGAGCGGAGTTGTGCCTGGGACCGGAGCGGAACTGGGTGGTGCTTTCTCCCTACCCCACCATGCACTGCCCCCAAACATTCCTCCACACCCCCTTAGGGGAGTGCGCTCCACAGTTTGGGGAGCGCTGCAGTAACATCTCAGCATGATTTCAAACTTAAATACACCGCACAACTCTTGCTTTGCACATGAAGCCTTCTGTGTGTACTAAAGATACAATCACTCATGATACTGGGTTTCATACAGCTTTGAGGTAAAGTAAGAATCTCACCAGGGGTGGTGTAATCAATTATGGAAAGGAAGGAAAATATATCAAAACACATTTTCAAATTGTGATAGTGATAGGCTAAGCCATTATTGCAATAGAGATCTGACCCACTTCTGCAAATAAAGTAACATCAATAAACCTTTTCACTTTTGGCACCTCAAAATGAAGTTTATCAATCACTTTGCAATGGATTGTAAAGTAAGGGCTGAATTGCAGCAGCATTCTCTTGCAACACCTGTGCATTCCCTATTATCCATTGGAATGTTAGTTTGTAAGCGTTCAGGGTTGAAAGCATGGTTGGCAATTCCATCTAGAGGACAATCTGATTTGTGCCCAGCTTTCAAATTGCTTATAATTCAAATACAAGAGTGGCAATGATTGCTGTGTTCACATTAGCCCACTGAAGCCTCTCTGGTATGCAGATGGGTCCAAGGGAAGAGGTCAATTTGCTGACAATTGAAAGTAAATTTAAGATGCTCTTAGCTAGGTGAAGGGCTTGTTCAAATGACCTCCCTGAATTCCTGCTTGGGGCCTGGATTTTAGGGCCTGTCTGACACCCACCTAGGACTCCTTTCTTAGAGCACAAACAAGACTAGGCTGAAGTATGTTGTGAGAGATCAGGTGGAAAGTGCACAATTCTGCCCAAGTGAAGAGAGCAACTGTTGAATTGAGCAAAGAAATCAAGAATTCATTAGAGAGTGAAATGCAAACGTCTCTGGTGGAACCATTCCTTGTATGATTTACAAATATTTGCTGTACTTATTAAGTACTATGGAATACTCTTATCTATAATAAAATATAGTGCCAAGGATGAAAAAGATGTAGCCTACAATCACCACATATCCACAAGGTCGCAATGTGATTATTTCTGGATGCTGAAAAGAGGGCAATTTGCTGGCTAATTAGTCTTTTCCATATCTTATTTAGTTTGTAAGGACCAAAGTCTTATTCCACTTCTACTCAGAACAGAGACAAAAGAGTGAGAACCCAGGTAGGGAACAGAGTACCTCTGCTGGGTAGCATGTTTCTCTCTTTGCTGTAGCCTCATAGAACCCTCTTTGCTGGAACGATGCAGATGAGGAGCAGCCACATTGGATTTCACCTTGGAAATGTGAGCTAGTGTTAAAGCTGCTTCAAGCTCCTCACTCTGTAAGCACAGGAGACTACTTGTAGGAAAGCTGAGAGGAGGTGCAAGGTTCCATGAGGATTGTGACTTCCACACAGGACTCTGGTTTGGGGAATGAACCTCTCATGCATTACCCTAACATTCCTGTAAGTCAGGCTCAATTTCCTGCTCTCTATGGGGAAAAATCTGTGTAGATTACAGTATGGCTCCTAATCTATCAGCAGGAGCATGCAGTGGCTTAATATCATATAGAAAGTGTGTAGTTACACACTGCCCTTAATGTACAGAGAGAAGGTCCAAATATCCTACATAATGTGAATGTGTGTTACAAATGACTTTACGATAAAAAACAGGAGTTTGGCATGGTAACTAGGACTGGTAGGACAAAGCTCAGGTTAAATTAGTAATGTACTTTGATGTTCTGCAGCATATGTTGTTCAAGTAGTGCTACTTAACTAAATGTCAAAACCCCTGGGAGGTATCAAATATATTTCATCATTTCTTGCAAAGCAGCAAGAAAAATGTGAAATACAAGTGAAATGGATGGTTTTTAATGTTTTTGATATGGTTGAACACAAAAAACCTGTTCCCAATATAGAAATTCCAAAAGATAACTTAAACAGTGTGCAAAATATTAATCATAATTCTCTGTAGAATACCAGAAATGGTGTAATTCTGAATTTCCAAAGGACACTGAAGGTCACTGCTAACCTTTATACCTGGTTGTTTGACTTCATAACATCTTGGTTTTGGTCAATCTCTTTACACTTTGCTTCTATGAACAAAGGAGTGTTATTAATTTATAAAAAAAATACTCGGCAGATCATAAAACAGTGAACAAAAAGTTATTTTCCAACATATTTGGACTGCATGTATAAACTAGAAGCAGGAAACCTGGAAAGCCTATTACAGCACCTACAAAGGCAGTGCTCTCTGTGTTTGATAGGATAGGAAAAGTTGAAAAGAAAATACACCAAAACAGTAGTATATCGAAGTTTGCAGTTTTAATGAATTCGGTCATATGGCATCAAAATCTACTTGTTCCATCAATTAGATTAATCACAAATATATAAGGAAATTTTTTTGAAGTCTGGTCATAAAGATATTTCTCTACCATACACATGCATATACAGTATTAGCAAACAAAGGGGAAAAAGCATATCTACCTTCTTAGATTATGAAGACTGCTATACAAAACATTTACCACAAGGTGGTGCTAGCAAGCTGCAAGCATATTCCTACTGAAAAGCAGAAAATTAAGTACAGCTACAGTTAGATTTGTCAACATTAGTCCAAGGCATTTGTTACATTTAAAATTAGAAAAACTGATGATGTATTCCCCCCTTGAAACATTACTTCACTTTAACACCTTCAGTTCTACACTACCTTCTTTTTCAGGCAGAAAAAGCCACATGTAGTTATGTTTGGATTTTTTTTTTAAATATATGAATAAGAAGAAAAAAAGACAATTAAGTTAGCTCAGGAACCAGAGGGTGGCCTGTCTTGCAACAATGAGAAAAAGACACATAGCAGAGATATGTACTGAAGTCCTGAGAGAAGGAGAGGTTGGGGTTGTGTGCAAATCCAGCATAGCTCTTTCAAATACAGTCTGACAATTAAGTGTCATTGGTACATTCTCTAGCATGAAGAAATCAGAGGGCAGGAGGGCTTGCCAAATAAAATACTATGCGTTCTCTATTGCAGAAAGTATGAAAGCGCATATGTGTAGTCTTAACTGTTTATATGGTCTATTGGATGTATTCCATATATAACAGAGGTTATCTAAAAATCAGTTACCTATATGTAACAGTATCCAGTAACATTCTTAAATGCTACTGCATACTACCCCGAAGTTCAGAAGAATCCACTTCATAATCATTCTGGTACACAGTGGAGAGGATCGCCAAAGGATCCCATTCATGAGCATACGTTTCAGTTATTCTAGATAATGAATTAATGCCACACCTTGTTCTCTCTTTTTAAAATGGCACATTTGGAATTACAGTAGTTTACTGCTGTGAATAAGTCTGCTATCAATTTGCAGCTGTGACACCCTGGGTTCCCTGCTCTCAATTCTTTGTGTCTGAGGCACAGCGATTAATGATTTTACTGTACTTATAAAGTGGGAACACTTGCATTTCTCTGACGTAAAGAATGATTCTGTATCTAATTTCTTCATCTGTAAACAAAAAAATCAAATTAGATTAAAATAGAAAGTTAGAACTTGACTTGATATGAATTATTTCAATTATTTAAGCTATTTGGGAACATCCGAGGGGAAAAAACAAGAGTCATATGGCTTCAATTATATTTACTAACATTTTACTTGACTATCTACAACCCATAAAACAGCATCATAGGGCTATCACAATAGTCCATCTAAGTCAGCAATACAAACCGATTTTTGATGGTATCCGTATATGGCAGAGAATGTAGCCAAAACCTAGAGGTTTCAGCACGTAATGAAGGCATATATGTACACTAATCTACTACAACCGAGTATTCTACTGAGTGCATAGAATGGCTACTAATGCTTTGGAAAGTCATTCTAGCCCATATGGTTCTAGTTTATCATGATTATACAACTTAGAACACTTGTCAGCCAATCAGATTGTTTCCCAATCTAATCCACTTCAAATGCAGAATTAAAATGTTCATCAGACACATTTAGGAAATGGGCAAAAAAATCTGCATTCTTTACAGTATGTATTATACACACAGGTAGGATCAGAAGGAGTTGCTGTGCCAGTGACCCAGGACATAAGTGGAATGTGGGGAAAAAAGGGATGATAAGAGTTCAAGTAAGAGTGCAAGAGCTACAGCCTGGAAAGTTTGAGCTGCCCACTAGAGAGACAGAATTTCCAGTTTCTTTAAATTCTGCAAGGCAAATGCCAGTGAAAAAGATCCAACCAAAAAAGAGAGAGGACTCAAGAACAGCAATAAAACTTAACAGGATTATGTGCTGGGATGGGGAGTCTTCCCTAAGGTACATTATTTAAAAAAAATAAAAGTTCTTTGGGGGGAAACCCCCATCAACAGCTACTCTGGCCTAGGTGTGACACTGTAGTGCGGTAGGATTCAGCAAGCCAGGAGTTGAGCACGTGAGAGAGAGATCTGCACTGGTGAATACAGTAAGCACAAACAAAGAAAGAATTCCAAATTCAGTGTTTGATTCTGCAGTGACCTTGCACACAGGACTCCTATGGAAGTCAATGGGAGTGATGCACTTGAGCAGCTGCAGAACAGCATCCATAAAAATAATCTGCAAAGGAAAGAGCCTTGTGCCTTTTTTGCTTCTGAGTTGTAACTACAGGCCTGTAAAGGTTTTTTTTTTTTTTTTAATTTTTTTTATTTTTTTTTTTTTTTGAGTTCCCCTTCTAGTGTCTGACCTTAGAAATTCTAGTTTTCTCTGCCCTATTGCAATTGGAGAACTAATAAAATTAACACATCACAAGAGACAAGACAGTGAAAGCTGAGTCAAGATTTATAGTTAGTTTAAAACTCGTCAGTGTTTGTTAACACCAATGCCGAATTGATGCTTGAAAAGAATGGGAGGATATTAATAATTCAAATCCCCACCCCTTCTACTAAGATGAGAGGTCACAATATACAGAGACTTCCCAGTAGTCCTCCAGTAAAACCAAGGAAGACCAGGCTTGATATCCATGATGTAAAGATTAAAAAAAGGCAAGCAGAGAAGTTTTTTTCTAAGATTTCTTCAGCCTTCTAAGTATACCATGAGCAAACAAAAAAGGCACAAAGCAAATTTTTAAAAAAATTAATTGCAGGTCACCACTAATACAACGTAGCTAAGAAACTACTGCCATAAAAATAAAAGATCTCTCACTATAAAGCCAACTAGGGGGCATCCAAAGACCTGCACAAAACAGGTTAAAATGGCACATTCTGTAGTCCTTTCAAAAGCTCTCTCCGTATGAGAAGATACAATTACAAAAAATATATAAAGCAACTTAAAAATTAAAGAGTGAAAAATTTTGTTTTCCTCTTTAGCAATGGAATGTGTACTATTAACCACCAAGGTCAATTAATAGTCACATGTGATAGCTTTGCATAAAGTGATTTGCATTTGCAGTTTTCCAGCACAGTATATTGTCATATAAATCTTAAAACTCTTTACAGAATCTGCACTGAAGGCCAACAGTGTTTTTTGGAATAATTTAGATGGCTACCTTGATTAAAAGCAGTTGGCAGCATCTGTAAGACTTACACAGTTTCTTAAACTGAATGAAGCTTGTGTCTACTGTGTCATCCATTTTATTAATATTGAGAGATGGTCCAGATTCCCAGGTATGACCAAGAGGAACTAAAGGTGCAAGTCAGGAGGTGGTGTGAAAAGTGTCTTTAAAGCTCTGCTTTTGCACTGCTCCAATTCTGGTGCTGAACACTGTGTGTTATGGGTGCTGTAACATATGCCAGCCTGTAACAGTCACAGGGTCCTGAAAAGTAGCCCAGGCTAGAAAAAATAAGTACATATCCCAGCCATATACCTTCTCTGTAGACCAGAGGTGGGCAAACTACAGCCCGCGGGCTACATCCGGCCCATGGGACTGTCCTCCCTGGCCGGGAACTCAAGGGCCGGGCAGGCTAGTCCCTGGCCCCTCCCCTGCTGTCCACCCTCCCCCGCAGCCATGCCGCCGCGTGGGCAGTGCTCTGGGCAGCGGGATGGCACGCTCCTGCCGAGCAGAGCGTCAGCCTGTCTAGCTCCAGCCGGGTGGCGCAGCTGCCGGACATGCTGCTCTGAGCAGCATGGTAAGGGAGCCGGGGCCGGGGGGTTAGATAAGGGGTGGAGGTTTCCGGGGGGGCGGACAGGGAGCAGGGGGTGGTTGGATGGGGCAGAGGTTCTGGGGCGGTCAGGGGCCGGGGAACAGGGAGGGTTGGATAAGTGTGGGAGTCCCGGAGGGCCTGTCGGGGGCGGTGGTGTGGATAGGGGTTGGGGCAGTCAGGGGACAGGGAGATTGGAACGGGGGTGGGGCTCCAGGGGGGAGGTTGGGGCGGGGGTCCCAGGAGGGGGCGGTCAGGGGACAAGGAGCAGGGGGAGTTGGATGGGTCGGGGATTCTGAGGGGGGCAGTCAGGGGGCAGGAAGTGAGAGGGGGCGGATGGGGGTGGGGGCCAGGCTGTTTGAAGAGGCACAGCCTTCCCTACCCGGCCCTCCATACAGTTTTGCAACCCCAATGTGGCCCTTGGGCCAAAAAGTTTGCTCACCCCGCTGTAGACACTCCCTGCTACATCAGCTCTACAACACTGAAGAACCATGGCACATTGGGTGATTCTCCCTGGAGCAGTTCAGCCAGCTTGATGACCTTATTACATCAGCCCTGCAGCACAAAGCAGCAGCACCACACCCAACAACTTGGCACAGTCTGTTCATAATTTTTTATATTCAGCTTACTTCTTGAAATGTTATTTTCTACCAAATTTTCCCAGCTGAGGCCTTTATCAATAAACAGGGACACATCTTTGTCTCAAGTGTATAAAAAAAAAACAACAAAAAAACACTGGCAAAGTGCCTGTTTCCATGCAAAAGCAAAACAGACATTAACATGTATGAATCAATATACAAATAAAAAAAAAAAAGTCAAGATCCAAGTCCATTGACATGCGGAAGTTGCAGGAATCCCAACTGGGTTAGCCTCACTCGCCTCTCCCACTCAGTGCTCTCTCACTTTGCGGCAGGATTCTTGGGAGGCTGCAGTTTGTACGTGCTGAAGTAGTTTACCACTTGCTGAGGCACTTCTGCCAGGACACACTGAGACAGAGCTTCTTTGGGAGCCTTATTAAAAAAAGAACATCAAACTTCAGTCTTAACCATTGGTCAGAGGAGACCTTAAAAGTTTAGGTGTCATCTGTTAATTTGTCCAAACAGAGAATCTACAGCATTTCTCACAGGAATTTGTTACAGTGCCTTTGGAAAAAAGCTTCCCTGCCCACCTTTACCTTTCCACTCCTACTATTAAGCAGCATGCTGCGAAGCAGCTGATTGCCTCCCTCCTCTGCAGTGGAGGATGCCTTTGTGTGGCATATGCAGTTTATAAAGTCTTTTGGGATCCACCAGGATAAAATACACTGAGTAAATTTTTAGCCATGTCAATAAAATCTCTGCTATGCAAGATTAAAGTGACAGAAGTTAAGCAGCTGAGGTTGGTTAAGTGAGTTTTCATCCACATCCTACTGTCCCAACCCTCATCTGCAGAAAATGCATTGCTTGTTCTACAGTGCAATTCCTCTAAGGTATAGTTAGTTTGTATTTCAAGATCAAATCTGTGATACTAGAAAAAGGAAAGCTTGTGTAATTGAAAACCAGATTTGAGCACATCAGTTCTATACCTGAGTAATCATGACTGCACTGCACTAACTGGCAAATTAATCTACAACTTTCTTCTAGTCTCAATCCGATATAGACAGGGTTGGCTTTTTGAGTCTTTCTTTTCCATTCCAGTCTGCCTTCAAGCAGTTCCTTGGAAACACTACAGCTAATCAAATACTTTAATGTAACATCCAGCCATCTAGTTTGGGTCTTCTAAATGCTTCTCTTACTCTCTACTTCTAGTTTAACCAAAGCTTAACACACCATTTCCTAGATATTCTTCCAATCTTCTTTTCACATGTCCAAACCATCCAAGCCTCGATTCCTTCAGCTTTTGTATAACTAGGACCACCTTCTTATTTCCCAATTTGCTCATTCTGAATATGGTCCAACCTTATAACTCCATGCATCTATCTGAACATTTTCATTTCCATTCAAGATGTGCTCGTGTCTCTCTCTCAGTGCCCAGCATTCACAGCCATACAAAAGTGCAGGGCTAATTACTCTCTTGTAGATCTTGCTTTTCAAGTTAATAGGCATCCTGCTATTGCATGCCACTCCACTTACTTCTTTCCATTTAGTCTCTGTCTTTCCTGTTCTGCTTATAAGTTAGTCATGGAGTTTACCATTATCCTGTACTATCTCGCCTAAGTAATTGAACTTCTATACCTTTGGTAGTGGCTGGTCCCCAAGACTTACGTTTCAGGAAGATGACGAGACTATCAGCAAATCTACAGACCATATACTGTTTCATTTCTGCTCATTTTCATGTAATTTCTTTCAAGCATGCATCACTCTAAATCTTTGTCCGCTTCATTTTTGCTCTGCCCTACGAACATTACATGACCTGCACAAAGCACACGCTACTCTGTGGATATTTTCTTAAAGTGCATCGAGCACCAATGTGAACAAAAGGCCTTGATGTACTTTGACTTTTATTAGAAATTTTTCAGTTTGTTTGACTGGCCTTCTAACTGCAGTATCAGCACCAGTGTACATGTCCCAGAGGAGTCTGATATGGTCTTCACGTATCTGTTTCATTCTCATACACCATCAGATGACTTCTTTCGGAAGGTGGTCATAAGCCTTCTCAAGAACAATGAACCCTACGTAAAGGGTTTCTCCTCTTTTCTCTGCATTAAGATTGCTTGTGGAAAAAATATAAAGACAGCATTGTTGACTTGCCTGGTAAGAATCCAAACTGATTGTCACTGACTTTTATTTCTCTTCAGTCTCTTACGAATAACAGTCTCCCAGACCTTCATGGTGTGGCTCAGGAGTTTAATGCTGCAGTTACCACAGTCTTGTAGGTCTCCTTTTCCCTTAAATATTGGTAACAATGTGCTCTTTCTCCAGACATCAGCTGAGTCCTCATAATGAAATTAAACAATTGTATCAATATGTTCATGCCTACCTGCCCCAGGCACTTCCATATTTCTCCTGGTATGCCATTGAGGCTGAGAGCTCTCTTATTGTTCATGTTGCTCAATGATTCTACAACAACTTCTTCTTGGATTGGTACCACCAGAACCTTGTTTGGTTTCATCATATGGCATGATTTTCTTGGATGCTCTTCAATCATAAACCTTTAACAGTAATTATTCTACCATTCCTTAATCTGGTCTTATTGGTTAACATATTTCCACTTTCATCTTTAAGTACTTTGATCTCACCAATGTCTTTAGTTCCCTTATCACTGGTCTTTTCCAGTCTATATATTTTTCTCTCTCGCTTTTCTTCATTTCAAGACAGGCATATAACCCTTCCAGGGCTTTAGCCTTAGCAGCTACCACCATTTTTTGCTTTTTAGCCTTTTTATACTCCTGAAAATCCTGCTGTTAGAGCGTTGCTTGCCAAAGTTTAACGCACTTTTCAGTCTCCAACTAAGGATGGCACTTTAAGTAATCTTTGCAGATTACTACCTTCCCCCACATCAATATGCCTGAACAAATAGTGGAAATCAAGGAAAACTGGTGCATTATTTTAATATGAGCTTTTTACCGTGAGGAGCCGGGGGGATAGAACAGAGCATAAAATATACAAAAACAAGAACTAGGAAGTAAGCATCTTGGAAGCTGAGCTGTTTTATCTGTCCGTTTTACTTTCCCCAAATTATTTATTTGTATATATCTTTGCAAAGGCATGAAATTTAAGATGACTATATGACCCAATGTCAACAGTATCTGTATGCTGGATTCCATCTATTGGGGGATTGCACACTAAATAGAGCTTCCCCACTATTTTGTTTGTGTCTGTGCAAAGAGGGTTTTATTTGCTTTAATAAAAACTACCCCAGCAGGGGCACCTATATATCAGAAAATGACTCCCTCACCTTCACACACAAAAATGTGTTTATCAAATGATCCAATGCATGCACACAGGGTTCAATTCTAATCTTAATCCAGATTTACAGCCAGGCAACTCCACTGACTAAAATGGAAATAATCTTAGGTGAAGTCAGAAACATGCTCATTTTCTCCTCCGACAGGACACCAGCATTGGTTTGATTATGCTGAACTGCATATCAATTCTTAAGTAGATTTATAAATGACATGTCCTGAAAAGACTGGTGAGAGAAGATTGCTAAACTGGGAACAGGTCACCTTTTTTGATCAAAATGATTTACTGGGAGTTCCACGGATGAGCTGGTAGGCTTTCATCTCTTCCTAGCAGCTGATACGAAAGCCGTACCTCACCGCTAGCTGAGAGTGTGTTTTCAGGAGGCTTTAGACCTCATTCCAGGGCCAGTCCATATATAAACCCACAGTGAAAATAGGACCACAAGTTATTTCACATGCTATGAAATCTAGTGTACTTCTCTGGTACGTATTCAGTAAGGAATGATACTTACACTTTGGAACTGCCTAAATGGCACAAACTGGACAATGTCTCTGATGGCTGGCTCTCCAGTTGGGGACCTGAGACTTCCATTGTCACCATCAAGAAACTCCATGGCACTGAAATCAGCTCCTCCAACACCAACAATGATAATGGACATGGGAAGTTTTGCGGCATTAACTATGGCGGATCTGGTTGCATCAAGGTCTGTTATCACACCATCCGTGATGATAAGGAGCACAAAATATTGCTGTCAAACCAATATGCACTTTGTTACAATTGAGAACAGCAGAAGAGATAATATTGCATACATGCATGCTACAGGTTTACAGGGCATAGAATGGTAACTTTTCAATATGTGAAGCTTATTCTTTGCAATCAAGCATCTAAACTTATTTCATGTCTCTTCTGCCTGGTCCAAAAAAACCCAACCCTAACTCTCCCTCCCTGCAAAGCACGTCCCCATTGTTACAAGTAAACTCCATTCAAGTTTCTTTTTGGTGGGTTGCCACCATCTCACCACCCCGCTTGCTCTGGGCAGGGATTCAGTTCCAGGGACAAACCACTGCAGCTAAATTGAGACCTGCATAAATTTGCTAAACTTCGATTTTCACACTTTTATCTAGTTTCTTTTAGGAACTTCAGACAGCCTGGACTTAAACTATAATTAAATCTTCACCAAGATATGCTCTCCAATAGCTCCCCCTTGGCTCCCTCCATATCTCTTCTCTACCTTGTCTCATTGCGCTTTCTCCCTCTTCACACTACTACTTGTTCCCCACCACTTTGTCCTTCCCCCTCTATAGCTCCCTCCAGCTCTACTTGCTCCACATTTGCCATGTCTACGAAACCCAGCCTGCTGATCATGACTGGACAGTTGATAAGCTGTGCTCATTCCTCTTCCTCCCCATCTCTTTTCCTAATCCTTCTAACTTCAATTAAAAACAAAACACAAACCAAACATTTCTACAATACATGTAACTAATGAAGCTGGTCCAATTCTTCATCATGCTCTTTTGCCTATATGTTGTATCCACATCCTCAGCTTATCTGTTTGTTTGTCTCATTAGATTGGAGGCACTTCAGAGCAGAGACAGTGTCTTTTCTAAGACAGAAAAATGCCCAGCACAATAGGGCCCTATTACTATTACAAGATGTCCAATTTATAGAGTTACCAACCCTCCAGGACTGTCCTGGAATCTCCAGGAATTAAAGATTAAAACTTTAAACAAACATTATGTCATGTGATGAAACCTCCAGGAATACGGCCAACCAGAACTGGCAACCCTATGTCCAAAGTAAAGTGTCATGGCTAGTGTGCTCATTTGCATATTAATACTGACAGTTCTTTTCCAGGTTCCAGCTAACTCACAGCAGTGGTGCCGTCTGAGCTCTGGGAACAAAGTGGAAAAGTTTAGAGCAGTGGTTCTTAAGCAGGGGTATGCATACCCCTAGTGGTATGAAGAGGTCTTCAAGGGGGTCATCAACTCATCTAGATATTTGCCTAGTTTTACAACAGGCTACATAAAAAGCACTAGCCGAAGTCAGTACAAACTAAAATTTCATACAAACAATGACTTGTTTATACTGGCCAGTTTTAGTCTTACATAACTCTCATGCAATCCTGTCTTGGTCACATTAAGTAAAATGAGGATTACACTTGCCCCTCTCACTTGAGGCTAAATGTTGCACTAAAATGTGTGTGTATTCCAGGGCAAAACTAGATTCTTAATGTTTGTAAAGTGCTCTGAATGTCCTGGATGAAAAGTGCTACAAAATGCCAAGTATTTTTTTTTTAAAATTGATATTCCTATCAGAAAATAAGCTTCATCTGGATGAAAGATGCTGGTTATGCACAATCTGTGAGGAAGCTGTGGCATCCATAAAGCTTAATGGTAGCAAATGCAACTTCACAGGGTAAGTTGATAACAAATAAGATTGGCACACTTCCAAGCACACAGAGGGGATACGAATAGTGTATTGCATGGAAAGAAAGAATAAAGGAGGGGAACACGTATACTAAAATAAAGTACTTACTGATGCTGTCTGTTGCTGTGCAGCTGCACCAGCAAATTTAGCCACATGGTTTATTATTGGAGAAAAATTAGTTGGCCCATATAATTTTATTTGAGGAAGGCAGGCCCGGTATGCATCAATAATGCCTTGGATTCCTTAAGAAAACAAATGGTTAAGTCTTAATATTTCATGTTAATATTGCATTGCTATTCTGAGGCACTCAACTGTCCTGGCACCTCCTTAGGTGCCAGACGTCTACGGTAGTACAAAGTTATTTAAAATTAAGATAATGATAAAGGAAGTTGTATGTTTTAGGTGAACAGAGGCCTTTTATCAGGCCATAGCCTTTCACAAGAGCTAATCTTGACTTTATGTCAAGGTTAAAAAGGTTGTCTAGGTGGTCAAATATCACGATCCTGAAATCTGGCTACCTAGTTTATAACAGTTCTGCTCAGTTTAGAAAACATGTCCTTGTTAGCCGTCTAAGCACAGAGGCAAAGACTAAATGGTCAGAGAATGAACCACCTTCTCACTCCTAGGGGCGGGTCCCTTCCACACCAGCAATGAGGTACCTTGGCCTGGCAGTATGGGAGAAGCCTACACTGCTGCTACCCCAAGGTAGCTGTGCTGTGAAATTTCAAATAAGAGAAAGAACCAAAGGCTACTTCACACAAGTGAGGATCTATAGCAGGAAATTCTAGCCTGGTTACTGATTGAAGTTCCTTGTCTATGTAACTAAATCAGCCTGCTTAATCAGAAGCCTCACAAATGCTCTGATTAGCAAAGAGCATCTCCTTCCTTCCCATCTCTTCACGAATTTTGAAGTCCATATTCTGAATAGGTCACACATTTCTTCTAATCAGAGACTTTTCTATACAAATTAACATCTACTCCCACAACCTTTACTGATGTTGTATTAATGGTGCCAGATTAAACATAGTACCATGAGGTGGTTAAGCAGTACCTAGTAGAAACAAGACTTTCCAGATATTTGATTCTTTAAGACTCTTGTGATAGTTACTAAGACTTACCAGTGCAGAATGGGTTTGATGGGTTAAAGTTTAATGGAAACTCATGAGATACCTGTCAATACATGGAAGAGATGTTCAGGTTTACAGATGCACATGTCCTTGAGTAAGTTGTTTTAGATTGCATAGGTAGCAAATTTACACATTTGGTTACCTGAAAGGAAGGTGGAATCTGTGCACCAAATCCAAAGGCTGGAAACATTTTATCTCTGAAAAAGCAATTTAAGAGAAAATGAAGTAGTTGTTTCCCTTTAGACTCTGTTCACTATTCAAAACAATTTAGCTAATCCTAGTCATAATCATAAAGCTGTTTATTAGAAATCAACAGGCAGAGTTAAGTGGAAATTTCCCCTGTGTAAAGGCCAAATCAGGTCAGGAGGGAGAATTTCTTTATGTCCAAGTCAGCAGGGCACCTAGGAAATTAGCATTTTAAAATCTTACTATGAAAATGTGTTATGGTTGCAAATGCTCTGCTGGTTTTTGTTTAGCATTTGTCATGAGATAATTTGAGCCACGAAAACTGTAGCAGCTACTACCTACCACAGACTGTCAAGTGTGCAGACCATTGAGTTTGGAGATATTGCTCCTGGGGGGAATTCTGCACCACTGCACATATGAAGACTTCATGTCCCCCACAGATTTCTTTGCTTCCCTGCAGAAAAATGACTTTCTGACAGGGAAGCAAAGGGAAGCCATAAGAGCGGTCATGCAGTATGTTTTGGGTGCCAGGGCAGCCGTCAGAGAGGTAAATCATTGTGGGGCAAGGGACGGGACTGGGGAAGACCCGGCTGGTGGCTCCCACCTTGCGCTGGGCTGAGCTGTTAGTCCTGGCTGGGCCGGGGAGGACGGGACTTCCTCTTCCCCTCCACTGCATCCACCCACCCTACCAAGCCCCGAACAGCTGCACCTGGATTCCCACTCCTCCAGCATCTGGACCCCCCCTCCCCCGACCCTTCACACCCAGACCCCCCTACCAAGCTCTATCCCCCACACACCCAGACCCCTCCCCCCCACTGAGCCCCAACCACCTTCAGCTGGACCTCCCCTGCAGAGTCCCATTACCGCTGCACCCATAACCTCCCCAACAAGCTCCTGTGCATCCAGATCCCTCCAGCACCCAGATCCCCCACTGAGCCGTCCACACCCAGATTGCTCCCACAGAATTCTCTCAACCCACACTAGGATCCCCCACACTTGGATCCCGCTGGGCTGAGCCTGCCTGCCCACACCTGGTGCACTTGGCATGGCAGGGTAGGATCCTGGGGTGTTTCCAGGGCAGGACCAGTCCGTGCATGGGTGCAGCCTCACCGCTGAGTCCATGTCCGGGAGAGGGGGGGCGGAGAGAAAGAGAAAAAAGGGAAAGGAGGGAGAATCTGCAGAGTGATCTCCAACTTTGTACAGCCACTGGCCTGTGCTCACCAATGCCATGCTGGAAACCCCACATTTATTTCACAAACAAAATTTGCAGGATTTTGCAGAATTTTAAAATATTGTGCGCAGAATTTTTTATATTTTGGCGCAGAATGCCCCTAAGGGTAAGATACTGACTGAGGAACGGATTGTACTGAAATTGGTGAATTCTGGGCCCTCTCAAGGGAATATCATCCTAGATCAACGAGGAGATACTATTGGACACATGTCCCAGTCCCACCTCTCATCATTCAAATTCCTTCTATTATTAATAAATACTGACTTTCCATGATGCCCACAAACTGTACTCGTGAAAATCCTCCACGTCACGTTAGAAAAGAGATTCAAGATTAAAAACAAACCATAAACCCCTACGCTTGTTCTCTAGGTCTCCCAATGTGACCTCTCAACTGCATCACAGACTGTAAGCTCCATGGAGAACAGACTGTCTTCATATCCGTGTCCTGTATCCTGAACACACTCTTAGTATTTAAGCAGATAATCTCTGCACTGCCACCTCCTGGCTCCGCCAAGGAATCTCAGAGATCGCTAAATTGACAGATTTGCACCTCCATTCACTTAGAGAAAATGTCACTCAGGTACGTCCATCTGTAGTATGCCTAGACCACCTTATGCAGAGTCAAGCGGAATGTAGCTACACACAAGCCAAAATAGACTGTACCCTTTCTCCCCGGTCTCCCCCAGCAAAGAGTGAGAGCTCATTCAAAGAGGAGAGAATAAAATGGAAGGGAAAATGTGAAAGGATTTTTATGCATGCTCTTGTACTTTCAGCTCTACAGCTTTTATTATGAGATGTTTATGGGTGTCTGCAATACTTACATGTCCAGATTCTACAACACGCATTTGAAAATGAGATAAGTTAAAACTTACGCATCATAGTCCTGAATGACCATTCCTACAGACCAAATGGCTGTCAGGTATTCGTTAACCCCATTAGGGCTGATGAAATGTAGAGAGTCTGGTGAGCGAGGGTCCCCATTGGAGCCAGTAAAATCTATCCCCACCTGTCAAATGTAGCATTTGAGGCATTTGTATCAGTTAGCAGTGAGGGGAAACTGGGTTCCTAATCTCAGACAAAATTAAACTGACAAAAACAGTAAGAACTGGTACATGTAATCATCTGTCAGCTGCCATATTTATACCATATTATTGAACATTAGACCCTTGTTTAAGGAATGTACCCTACTCAAACATCATGAAGCTGTGGTTCCCCATGGCGACTGGTTGGCTTTCCACCTATCAGCTGCTGTCTTATATAGGTCTTAAACAAAAGCATTCACCATCTTCTCCATGGTTGTGAAATAGTCTCAGCCTCCTTCCAAGTGGAAGCTACTCAAGGAATACCACAACAGATTAACAGATCCTTGCTGACAGACCAGCCACAGACACTGATCTTCTCTGGGTGAGGGCTGAGGAACATTGCTAGGGTGCAAAAAGCTTACATTCTACTGCCTGTGTTGTACCAGTTTTGTGAATTAAACCATTTAAGGGTCTGATCCCATGTTAAGGCCTATATATGTTGCTCAGGCTGTTCATAGGGGCCTTGAAGCCATCCTATATAGGCAGCTGAAGATTATTCTGGCATGGGGAAATCCTTGGCAGATGTAGACCTACCATAACAAGCTCTACATGACCACCCCCAGGTGTAATGGATGTGTTAGGAGTGAACAGAACTACAAACATTCCCAGATTAGATCAGCTTAATGGCTGTCAAGCAAACTACACTTGTGATGAGATGGTGTAAAACAAACCCAAGCAACAGGGAATGGTAAACTCCTTTGGTCTCTGCCCACACAGTTATATCCAGCATTGACTGGGCACATCTGAAGATTCAGAACTCATGTCTGATGTTAGGAGTCTATCATATTTCAGAACTTTCCAGGTAACAGTTAAAAAAAAAAAAAAAAGGCCAGAGAGCCTCTAGAAATATGGGCTTATGCTTCATCTGCTACAAAAATAAACATGCGATTAAGAGAATCCAGAACATATTATAGTTTACACTGAAAAATAAAGCAATTTTGTACACATAAAGTACTTACAGTGAAATTCAGCTGACATCCTCCCATGATGTAATCAAGGAATGTGCATTCCACTATAATCTAAAAGGAAACACATTGGTTTCAGCAAAACCCAAAAGACTGAGGCAATTTCTTAATTCCCTGAAGGCCTAGTTTTGCTTCCCATACTGATGTAAAGCAGTACCTTTACTCCACAAGTAGTGCCTCTAGATTTCACTGAGAGTATTCAATAAATGAGGTACTATGCACTGTGTGCCAGTATTGGGCCCCTTATAATTACATTTAAAACAGGATCTGGATACATGGAGAAAATTCATATCAGGGAACTATTTCGTACATTAGCCAACGTTCAGCTAGTAAGGAAATTGATACTATGGTACCTATTAATTAATTGCTAGGAAGTTTAGTGCTTTTTGTGTTTAAGACAATGCAAATCACCACTTCCCTTGTCATTCCATGATACATGCAAATAGAATTTCAGAAGGCTGTTTTATTATTTAGGACCTGAACACCCCCACTTCCCACTCAAGATGATATTAGATGAGGAATTCCTTTACTTTAACTAGTAAGATCATCCTACTGAAAATAAGGTTATGGAGGTTTGATATTTAAACATCTATTTCTAAACCAAAAGACCTTGTATAAAACAGTAACTTTCACTTGCTTGCAATCTCCTGTATAGAAAACTAAGTCAAGCTCTCTATAGAAAAATACAGTAGTAATATTAATTGTATTCTGATTTTATGTAAAGCAATAATGTTTTACTTTGTCACCTTACTGCTTCTACAACATTCAAAGCATTTTATAGACTTAAATCTTTCTGTATGAAAACTACATTTTACTGTTACTTACACTTGGGGTGGTTGAGGCATGTTAGATCAGAGATGTTGTACCTGGACATTTGTAAATAAAGAAACTCGATAGAGTTAAAAAATAAAAATCTTGAGTACCGACCTCACAGTGTTTCACACTCACGACACCAGAATTTTTGTAGCTTTTTTTCTTTTGTCTCTTCTTCTCATTGACACATTCAAATTCAGCCTAAGGGAATGGAAAAAACAACAAGATTACAATCAGTACAATTTATGCAATACATTTAAGTAATACCTATCCAGAGCTTTAAGTACCTTTGCTTTACATTGAAAGTGCAGTCATTGGCTGTAAAACAAAAGCAAACCCATCCTCCTCAGAACTAGAAAAGAAAAACCCTACAGGCCAGGCACAAGTATCAGCCCTCTTTGTACCTTCTCTCCCATAAAGCTTCAGAAGAGAAAGGCTTTGTGCAGCTCTTGGGGATCATCATAGGGAGGGAGTGAATTCAAAAGTTCTGGTCACTCTTCAGGTACTAGGCTGGATTAAGGCATAGCCCCAAGTAAAGCACATTGCAGCTATTTTGAAGGCAAGAGGGGCATGGGACAAGGTTGCAAGATCTGCATCTGAGAAGAATGGTTGCATCTTCCTTGCCAAACAGATGAAACCACCACCCAGTTCTCTTCTCTATAGGGTTGCTCAAAAGCAGCTGAGGATTCAACAGTAACCCAAGACTGCAAGCTCCAGTAACAAATGGCAGGAGCACACACTCTCCTATAAAGCAGCTCACTGATGCTTCCGTCTTCCCAACATCACTTCCATTTTATGGAAACTGGATTTCAGCCAGCTAGTCCTCATCCTTTACTTGTCTCTAGCAAAACCGAGTTGGGCATTCAATAGCACTGGTCATAAGTGTGTGTTTCTGCCACACGTTCTAAGCGTTCAAACTGATTTCTTAAGTGGTTTGGGGTTCCATTGCTTCCTAAGCCACAGGACAATGTTTTCATTCAACCAGTGAGGTTAAACCCAACAATTTGTTGAGTAAAAAAATCTTTGCAAAAACAAGCCTCTTGTACATTCTCAAGTCAGTCAGGAAACACCTGAGCTCCAAATCCTTCAAAGTGCTAAGCGCCCTTAGCTTCCACAGTGAGAAAAAGGGGAGCTCAGTATCATTCAGGATCAGGCACATACCAAGGGCTTGCCTGAAAAATATTCCCTCCACTGGAATCAGTGGAGATATGTTGAGGGTAACAATCTGCAAACAGTTTCTGTAACGCAACAAGACATTAAATATTGCAATATTTTATTCTATAAGATTATTTCCTGTTTGTTGTTCGTTTACAGCATGGATAGAACATAACGGTAAGACATAATTAGAACCGAAACAAATTGTGGTACTTTATCACAGAGGCTAATCTAAACAGCCAGGTAATTTCCTGATTAAATTTTCCATATTTAATTCTGTCTTAAAATTAAAAAGAAGTCTTTTGTGAAAATGTATTAACTCCAACCACCACGTGGATTTTTGTTAAATCTTAGAATTTTCATTAGAATGGTGGGGGGAGAACATGCTAATCAAGCAGGCTCTCGCCAGAAAATTCTCTCAGCCTTTTCTTAATTTGTGGGGCACAGTCTGCATCTTATTTAACACCAGATTCTTTTCAGTTACACTGGTGTTAAGATCAAGTAATTACAATGATTTCATTGAAGTAATTCCAGGATTAACATGGGCAAAACTAAAATGAGAATTGGGGTCTTACTAAATTCCACTTTACAGGACCTACCACCCAGCTTTATTCACACAGGAAATGCTTAATGTCAGACATGGTCCTAGTGAAGCCAATAAGTAAAGTTTTGCAGGATTGAGTCCCAGTTCTTTTTAAGCAAGAGATTTCTGGAGCTTAATATTTCCTCGGTTTTGTCTTGTAGCTTTAATTCTCGGCCAGTCTCATTCTGGCACACGGATGGCTCTCTTTGACTGGATACAGCCAATGTGTGGTCAAGAAAATAAACATAAGGAAGAGCTTTCTTGAAGCATTTTCAAAAGAAGCATATGCAGATTACATCTTAACATCACACTTTTTTTTTAAAAGCAGAAGATAGCAGCCTAGGTTATCAGAGAACAGATTAGGATGGAGCATTTTGATTCACATCAAAATCAATCATACAGTGTGCTTCGGTGGCACAAAGGGAGCTACTATCTCACAGGATTAGGGTCTTACAAAGTGTGGGCGCACTTTTTATATATATATATATATATATATATATATATATATATATATATATATATATATATATATATATATAT